AACAGTAATTTAGGGAAACTCCCAAGTGATCGGCATTTGGCAAGGACAAGTCGCATCACATCGCCCATGAGCTTGGCCCCTTGACAGGATGCTCACATGGGCCTGTTCCGGATGGCAGGCGTATTTTGCTTCCATTTTCTGTTCCATTATCCCTATAGGTAGCAGTTTCCATTTTCTTTTCCATTATCCTTATATAACACCAATATACTATAGGGCTTTTTGCTGGGTCCAATGTGATGAAAAGCCTAGGACTTCTTCCGCGAGGGAAGAAGGAGCAGGACACCTCAGCGGCCCGTGTGCTGTTTGTCATCGACAAGCAGAAGAAGGTGCGCCTAAGCCACTCAACGCAAGAAGGAAGCTGACTCAGTAGATTTGGGCTGGAAACCGTCGTATAGAAACTACTGCTACAATGGTGGGAAATCCGTGTCCCTACAGGCACGCGAAAAACCAACCAAAAAGATTGGCCCCTACATCGCAGGGTGCGGCCAAGCCGCGCTGCGCCACGCGGCATGGCCAGGCAACGCTAAGCGGCCCTGCAGCGCGGTCGAGCTCATGAGAGAGAAAAACATGGCACGGCAGGGTGCGGCTAGGCTGCCCCCCGGATTGGAAAGGCGCGAAGAAGGAAGAGGCACGTGCCGGCAACGCAGGTTGCAGGCTAATGGAAAGAACGATGCTCAGAAGAAGCGCGGAACTGCCACCCACGATGGACTGGCCCGTACTGCAGGGCTCTCCCAGCAAAATGGCGGCTCCCTCCGCCTCAGGCGTCGCAGCACTGCCCGCGCAAGCTCCCGCTGCAGAGCCGCGCATGCCAAGCTCAGTGACTGATGCAGGTGTTCCGTCACTGTCTGGCAGTAGGTCCCCACAGCATTTCAACATCTGTTGTGGGATGTGAGAGGAGGGCGATGGCAATTGATGAGCCCAGAAGTCTTGCTCTATTGTTTCCATGCAACAAAACATGGAAGCACTTCGTAAAGCCAGTAGGCGCCTCTGGTATTCCAGACAGCTGTGGAGCTTACTGAGAGCGTGAAGCGCCGCACTCCTGAGCAATGACTGTTGTGACCAATTGAGGCATACAATATCCTCAGACCACTGGCCTCAACCTTTTCGAGGTGCTGCGAGCAGACCTTAGCTAGTTGGCTGGTGGTTCTGTGTGGAATTAAGTAGACTATGGCAAGCCAGTGTGTTCTTCAGATGTTGCTAGGCTGTTCCAGACCTGAGCAACCCTGCAACGGTAGAGCCTCCAAGGAGCCCTGGACTCCTTGATTCTCACCAAGGCGCAGTCTATGGCTCCACTGGTTTTCGGATGTCTAATCCCCCACACTTATCTGGGTTGCTGTTAAGGAACTTAAATTACGTTACTACATTGGGGAAACCCTATTATTTACTACATATACCCATTATGGTGACTTAATTTAAGTTCCTTAACAGCAGCCCAGATTATGCCTTGTGCTGGGGTTCATCCGCTTGTGAGCGTGCTGCACATGGTTGTGCAAAAGGATTTCCAGCTCGCCACTCCGGCAAACTGGCAGATGGGAGGTCGCGTGATCGTGGACCCCAAGGCCTGTGTCTTCAAATCAATGCATTTGGCGGAACTTCACAAGATGCTGCACCAGAATGTAAATTCTGTAGCCGTATTGAGCTATCTCTTGGACTGTTTTAAGATTTGTTTTTTTTTTGGCTGGGGTACTGCGAACTGCTTCCGATGCGAACTCCCTGATCCCCTGAGTTGAGCACGACAGAAGCCAACGCTCGCTTCCGAAACTTGGAGAGCGTTTCGCTGCCCAGTGCCACTCGGATCTGCACTGCGCTGAGAAGCTCTGACTTGTCATCGATTCCCTGCTTCTTGCCCTTGAAGCGGTGCGTGCAACCCCGACATCATGTGCACTGAATGCAATTTTGAACTGGCTTTGTGAAGCAGATGTTGCAGGACATCTTCTTGTGAGAGGAAGCCTCCTTCATACCAACCCCGAACTATGGGGGCGTCCGGGGGTGGGACAAAGACAGCCAGATTTTGGGTCTAGCGGGGGTTCTTGTAATTTCAGAATCTCTTGGATGCCCAGTTTGGAGGCTCCTGGCGGGAGAAACAGGGGGGCGTAAAAGCGCTCCCTTCTTTGCCGCCTGGAGTCTGCTATCGCTGCAAGCGAACCCTGCAGATTCTTACCAAGTTCCTGGTGAGAGGAGGCTTTGTTCATCACCCTGAACCATGTGAGACAGGACAGTCTGGGTGTCCAGCCAAGGGAGAGGCGGAGGACTTTTGAGGTAAGTGTGGAGGCATGGAGCAACGACTCCGGGGAGTCTTGCAGGGAGAAGCGGGGGTCCGTGATACTTCTCCTGTCCGCGGTTCCTTCTCTCAGATTGAACGCGGGTCATCAGAGTAACAAAGTTTGGGGAGCGATGCACTTCCACCTGCACCTTCTTCTGGGGACGTGCTAATCCTTAAGCGCTGTCATCGCGGATTTTTTTTGTCTTTGCCACGGCTCTCAAATATGACAGACAGTTGCCAGCCGAGGCAAGGTGGAACCCGCCTAAGGAGGACTACCTCCGGCAGCTCGACAAAGAAGTATTGGGAAGCTAGTGGAAGCGGACTTGCTGTGATAAATGAAAGGGTGACTTTTGTGGCAGGTATGCGGATTGTCCAGGCAGAACACTGGTGCCCTGGGCAGATGCGGAGGTGGATCTAGTGCTTACCTCACACGATTCCATTTGTTGGATGATTTTTCTTCAACATCGGCACTTTAACACGGTGGTTTTCCTCTTTTAGTAAGGGAGCTACAAGTTAGTCCACAAGGATGCAGATGGCCTGTGGTGAGTACGGTTGATGCATCTATCCACCAGTCTGAGCATTCTAGATAATGGAAAGAACATGGAAACTTATTTAGGGATAATGGAAAAGAACATGGAAACTACGGTTTTCATTTCTGATAAGCTTCTGATGTCGAAGGTGTGCTAAACCGAGTGCAGTTGCTGTCTCAATCTTGCCTTGGCGGTGGCGCTCGCTGCAGCTGTGGAGCATGGCTCCAGCAAGCAGAGCCAACACAATGTTCGCGCTGCAGCCTTTTTGCTTTTGGCTGGGAAGCAAGCTGCATGCATGCGCATGCAGGTGTCGCTACCTCCGACAGCGACATTTGGTGGCCAGGTGTGGGAGCAGCCTGGTGTGCAATCAGGCCTCCATTTTGGGGTGTTCGATCATGTCATTTTGACTTTAGGAAGCATGACACTATATCGCGTTTCATTTGGAGTTTCTGTCTTGCTGTACTTCGCTAACAAACTTGAGGTGTCCCTTTTCACTCACCACCCGGTTGCACTGATTCTCCAAGGCCAGTACCGAAGAGACAGAGGGTGTCTTGGTCTGCAAGTCACGACGGCGCTGGACAGTTATCCCTTGTATTGTCAGGTTCAAATACTTGAGATAACCGAAGCTTCCTTATGAAAGCGGCAGCAGTGCTACCTGCAGACAGCTGCCCAGGACTGGGACGAGGGCAAGTATGAGGGCGACGACTTCGAGGGTGAAGCCGCTTGCCTGGCGTCAGCAGAAAGCAGCAACAAAAGCAGCAGCGACGTCTTCGCTGAACCCGTGGAGAATGCTTTCCCTCAGTGGAATCTGGTCTGCGCATGTTCAAGGGAGTTGCGTTAGGCGTGAAGAAGCTACTGAACTTCAGGTTCTTTGCACCGGCAACTGGTGCACTTGATGCCCCTTCAAATGGCGCAGCTGAATTTCATAAGAAGGGGGTGGTCAGACCCGTCGTCACATTCTGGCCCGTTCAACGTCCGGACATATTTTGTACTTGTCGCTCGTCACGGATGGCTTGAGGCTGCAAAGACTGTGGCCGGAGCTAAACATGGCCTGTGTGAAGTACATAGCTGTGCGTGGATGATCCCCCAAAGTGGGGATCTCACGCTGGCACAGTCTTTCTGTGTGCCACAGTGCGGTACAAAGTTAGCGCCAGGCTGCGGTGAACAAAGTAGGCACAAGCATGGGGGGCGCACGTTTTGTGGCCCGTTTTGAGGTGTTAGTGTTGCGGTGCCCTTGGCAACCTATGGCGGTCTTCTCCCCAGGTTACGTCCAGGACATGTCGACGAACGGCACCCGATTAAACGGCAAGCGCCTGCCGAGACCTCCATATAAACATCCCATGGCAGCTTGGCTTTGAATGCGGGTGGTGATAGTTTGTGGGAGAAGGTTGGAGGTATGTAATCGATTATAAAACTAGCAGAGCTGCTGGCCTCCACATTGAGGATGCCCGTGTGCGAATCTTCCACGGCGACGAGTTGGTTCTAGCCATTACGCCAGAGGGTGCCTGGCCTTAGTCTTCGAAGGGAGGATTTGCAAGCAGCTCTTGCAGTGTGAAGCCATGAGTGTGTGTGGCTCCATTTTGAGTTTGCTCTGCTTCCCTTAGTTGGCAGAGGTAGCTTATCCAACGCGTCCCAGTCACTGTTCCCCTGCGCAAGACTCTTGTTTGTAGCGCCAAGGAGAAGAGCTTGGTTATGTGTCGCCCCCAGAGGCAGGTAGCCACATGCCCAATTTCTCAGCGAGCAGGCCTTACAGTACAGTTGCAGTCCCTGGTCTCGATTGTCGTGGGGTTGGCATTCATTATTGAGAGTTGTAAGTGCTGTTGTAAGCGCAGACATGCCGTTCGTGAAGTACAATTTAGTCACATCGGCCATGCTACCTCGCCAAAGATGCTTGAGGTCGTCAATCTCCATGAGTGCGCCGCCAAGCAACTGTCCATGCAAAATCATTCAAGAGCGCAACGCAGGCTGACCTTGCGTGCTGCAGCGTAGCCAGTGCGGTCGCTGTATCTTGCTTCTGCCTGCTGTCCTTTTTCGGTTGCTTCTGAGGCTGAGCGGCTGAGTCCTCGCCAGCTCCCTTTCCAAGAGTGAGTCAGCTGTGTACGGACGTCGCTGACAATGATCACGGCTGTGCGGAGACTTGGGAAGCTGAGATAAAACAATCAGCCAAAGCTAGACTCAAGAGCTGTCCGGGGTTCAAAGCTTGGACATGCCATTGATGGAAATAACAACAATGAAAAGTCTAGGAATAATGATGGTAATGATGGGAATAACGTTTTTCGCATGACGAGTTCTTGAGTGCGCGTCAAGCTTCTCCGGATGCCAACCTGGCTTTTAGGCTCCTGACGGAGTGGACGTGCTGCTGTTTGTCATGAAGAAGGCCGGGTTCACAGGGCGCCGCTTTCCTGATGCAGCTTTGCACAACATTCTCTGCACTTGCCCAATTTGTTTTGCGCTGCTTTAAGGAGCGCGTCTCTGCCGCCGAGCAGGAGTTCCCATGTCTGGCATGCCCAAGTCTAAGGGTCCATCTCAACGCATGAGTTCAGCAACAAAAAGAAGCACGGCAGGAATATGAATTATCATTAGACTATCATCATCATATAATATACAATATTATACGATAATATACTATAGCATACTATAATATACTATCATATATTAGAAATATACTGTAGTATACTATTATCATACAACAATCTTCATTGCAGGAGACGCTGGCCTACGTGACTCAGTTGCTGTTTGGCCCGGAGTGCTTGTGTGCCCCTCTGTTGACAGGAGTGGCGGGGGGGGGGGGGGG